GCTCCTGTAGAAAGACGCCGACATGCGGAATGCCCCGCCGTCTGCTATCTCAGCTGCTGTTGCTGGTCGCTTGCTAGCTTCTTGCTCGCCTCACTCTGGCACCTCCACTGTGGTGCCTGAAAATCGAATTCGGGTTCGCCCGGGAAGACAAGCAGCAGTCGTGAGTGTGATTGAGTGCTTAGGCGTCGTGTCAAGTCGCTAGCGTTCTTAGTAGACGGCGGTGAAACGTGGGGAAGACGATTCTATAGCGTGTACCTACCGTCGCGGGACTAGTCGAATTCAAAGCTCACCTGAACGCCATCTGTCCCTTCCCGCTGTGCAGCTGCGTCATTTGCACCGCTTTTCTGGTTTACAAACGATGAACAGACCAGACCGCACCTGTGATGACTGCCATATAGCTCACGACTGACAAAGACATTTCATCCGCTGCTGGCATCGGCCAAGTCCACTGCTTGGCTCAGCCTCAAGTCGAGACGCTAAAGTCGTGACTGTTTGATGACGCTCAAAGTTGGCCGGCGGGGCAAATGGCGCATTCTCACCATGACTCGCCGACTTTTCCGAGGCGAATTGCTCCGCTCGAACTCTTCGGGCGAGCAGCAGCAGCTCTGCTCTTGGATGCGAGCAGGTCGTCGTGCTTCGGTATTTACTCCGTATTTAGCGCCTCGATTCAGCCAACGTGCAAGTCTTGCTAGCCTGCCTCGTGACCTTGGACGCTGCGATACTATTCTGGACGCTGAGGCTGGGGCTAGTAGCATGGAGGATCAGCGAAGCAAAACGTGAAACGCATTCCACCTTCATTGACGCCAAGCTTGCCCTGTACGAGACACCGTCGATGCTCTGACTGACCACGCAATGTAGGCGCTAATGACGTTCGTCTATACCTCTCAAGAAGACGATGTGGGTGATCTTCCCGACGTCTTCCGCTGCCCGCTGCCGAAAGGCGTCGACTCAAAGATTGCCGACTTGCCACGAGGGAAAGAGGACCGACCGTAGAGCTAGACACGCCTTGAGTAGGCTCGCCATACATGTCTGCTCTTGCTGCCAATTGACTCCGTACACCGCCTTTTCGCGCCGGTGCGGACATTACCTCAGACTGGAAGGCGGCCATGACTTGCCACCAAGCCTGGCGTCGAGAACACCGAGCAGACGACGCGATCAGGTGTACAGGACGAGGACCACCTTGTCACATTCATTTGCATTCTGTGTCCGCTCGTGACGTGCAACGCGGTCCATAGAATCCGCTCAGGCTACTTGTGTCGAGAGCTGAGCTGCGATTCACGATTGTCGGAAGCGGAGAAGGAGTGAGCGCGTGCGGTGACAAGAAAGCTAGAGTTCGATCAGGGGTACCAACACTCGTGATTTAGTATGGATATGAGGCAAAATTGTGGCTATACGTGCAATCTTGGAAAATTTCAACAAAAACCCTGATTTGAATGCCAATGAAATCCGCCTTGAGGTACCGGTAATTGTGACTTTGAAGAGGCGGAAACCACGAAGCAAATGTTGAATCATCCCAAAAGTCGTGGAAGAAAGCGCTCTTGACGCGTCCGCCGACACGTGATTCCTGTCTGCATGCACCGCGCACAGACGCGACCAAGCGGCACAGCGATCTATCTTCTCACTCTCCACCTCCGCTGCATCGCCTCGTGGTCGGTCCTCATTCACAATCTTGAATTGATGTCATAGTCGAGCAATACCCGGCTCACTCTCCTTCCATTCCATCATCGCCGCATCGCTGGTAGCGTGCACCCATGCCATCGTTTCTGATTGCTCCAACTGCACTTCGTTCGATCGTGCGGGCTCCACCTTAATCGTACAGACTTTTCTGCTCTGCACTCGCGGACCATCGCTGCATAATCGACTTGCTCCACATGTCCACACTCCTCTCTTCTCCAACGGCACAGGCGAGCGCAACCAACAATGGCAGCCACCTGGCATCGCCTGCATACGCCAATGTCAGCCCGTCTTTGGGTCCTAGCGACCCCGGTGCCTCGCGTGTAGAAAGGGCATCATCGGCCATTGAGACGGAGCACAGCGCGCAGGTTGAGCAGCAGGGACAGCGCCAGGCCGATCCACCAGAAGGGCGCAAGCTGGAGGCTCCCCAATGGCTCTTCAGGCCGGCAGACATGGAGCATACACCCAGCGCAAAGGCTGGTATGAGTCAAGAGACGGAAAGGTACCTCCGGGCAAAGGGCGTAGGATTGATCTTTAGGACGGGCGAAGGGTTGCGCGTGTAAGTTCGCCTGCCAAGTGCGCCCGCATACGAGAAGCGCATTTCCTTGTGTCGCCGACTTTGCCGTTGAAGCTGATGAGCATCCGCACTCTCACTTCTGCAGCGGCATGAATGTCATGGCCACAGCCGCCATCTTCTTTCATCGCTTCTTCATGCGCAAGACCATCTTGGCACCTGGCGATCACAGGCGGAATCACGTCAACTCTGGCTCGATGGACACGCGTGCGCCAGAGAGCTTCAGCGTGCATGTGAGCGATCTTCGCACCCCTCTTGGCTCCTTTCTGTCGCTTTCTGCTCGAAGACCTCATTCGCAAGCTGATTCGAACGCATCTCGCCTGCCGCCTCTTTGGACCTTCTAGGAGGTCGCCCCAGCAGCGTTGTGGCTCGCCTGCAAGGTGGAGGAATCACATCGGAGGACGGATAAGCTGGTGACTGTCACTATGGCTGTGAATGACAAGACCAAAGAGGGCATGAGGGCTGCCGAGAGAGGCAACTACACCGTCGACGTCGAGGGCAGGGTAAGTTCTTTGTTTGACGAGCAGGCATTGTCAGTGAGCCCGCGATTGCTGACTTGCTTGCGCTGCGCGTTGCACCCCGAGCCTCTTAGGAATACGCCGCATGGAGGGAAAGTATATGCTATTGCGAAGCGGCAGTCCTGGAAGCGCTTTGTTTCGACCTCATCATCGACGCCCCTCATCAACATTTGATCCAGGGCTGCAAAGCACTCGGCGTGGACAGAGATCTGACACTGCTCAGCGTGGCACTGATGAACAACTGGTAAGCACGTAGGCTGCTCACTCTTCATCGAGCGCGTAATCGAAATGGCAAGCTGGCTGACGCTCACCAATCGACGCACACACCCTCTCCTCGTACAGCCTTTACAATGCGGTCTGCACTTTCTGGGATGCCCCCATTCTTGCTGCTTGCGTGTTCTACGAGGCGTGCGCAGCAGTGGGGCTCCAACCTGAAGAGTTCCAGCTTCAAAGAGGTTTCCGAGCGCCAGGCATCGACGAACCTAGTCAGGGATGGCTGGACGCATTCGACGTCGACGAGAGCGAGCTGCAAGGTGAGCGGCGCTGTCTCTACGACTTCAAGGGCTGCCGAATGCCTCTATCGCCATGCTAATGTTGCGCTGCTCAAATCCGCATGCTGCCCTTGCCGATCAGAGGCACTTCCATCCGTCTCCTCATACCTCGCTTTCTACGCGCAGCAACAGAGGGAACTGCAAGCTCAAGCTCAGGCGCACGCAGCGTTAGCATCAGGAGGCTCTCAACCCCACTCCGAGCCTCCGGACAGCGCTGCGCAACAAGCGGTTGAGCGCGTGTCTGGCCAAGGGACGCCTATTCCACCCGTCACGCCTCTGGCTACCCGTACGCCCGCGGAATCGGCCAGCAATACGCCGGGTCATCCCTCTGGAAGCATGCTTAGTGCGCTTCGACAAAGCACTCTACCAAGAGAGACGACGACAACGCCTTCGAATGTGCAAGCGCGTTTTGAAATGACAGGCAAAGAAGGGCTTGATGGCTCCAACACTTCGCTTCATGAAGGGATGGAGGAGAGGAAGAGCGCGCTGAACACCAGACCTCCTTCAAGGCATGGCCTGGGAAGACATTTGGCGCCCTTTGGCGCTCCCAAAGAAGTGGCCTCAACTGGCCAATCGTCGGCGCCAACGCAGCATACATCGCCCGCTACAGGTCCTGCTCGCCCGGACGAGGCTCCTCCGCCACCCATGCTCAAAGAGCCGCGCCCCGCATCTGAAAGTCCAGAGGAAGGTGAGGCGGACTAATGAGAGGGTTTGGATGAATGCTGATTTCAACCCCAAGGTCGACTTGCACCTTCTGCGGCGCAAAGTCTGCGACCCTTTTTCAAGCGCTTGATCACCTGCTGTATCTCTGAACTGTTTCGAAATGTACACTACCTCATCGCAAGATACATCTTCACTCTTTCGATCGCAAACGAGGCAAAGCACACGAGAGCAAAGCGGGCTCATCTGATTGCGCATGCTTGCCCCCCCTCAACTCAAATCGTAGCCTCCGGCGGAAAGCGCAACGACGAGATCTTGATCGAGGTAAGAGGCGATGCTAACATTATCGTTGAGGCCCTGGTGCGGAGTCAAGAAGGACGCAAGGACTATGAGCGCGTTCCTCGCAAAGGCACAAAACCAAGGCTTTCACGATGTGCGAGGGCGCAGCAGCACTTACCTTTCTTCTTCGCACCTTGAGACACACATCTCTGGCCAATTCGAGGGCTCGGGCAGGTTCGAGGGCTCTGAGGGAGACTGTTTTATCCAAGGGGTCGCCCGGTAGGACGGCGTAATGGCTAAAGAGCTGCAGGCAGAATGCTTGACCTTGAGTCTGCGTTCTGAGGTCCGTCTCGAAACCGTTGGCGTCCAAGACGGGGATGAAGGCCTTGACAGTGACGAGTGGCGAGCCGGGTTTGGGAACATCTTGAGTTACGTGACCTCTCCTGCGCGCCAAAACCGTGTATACCGCCGCGACGCAATCCACTGGAGCTTGCACTTCCACGTAGCTGATGGGCTCCATCAGACGAGGAGTCGCGAGCAGCAGAGCGGCGTAGCACACCCTTCGAGCTGTAGGGATCACTTGTCCTCCTCCTCGATGTATAGCCTCTGGTGCGATCTCGGCGTGAAGGATTCTGAACTTGACATTCCTGATAGGCTCATCTGCCAGCGGTCCTTCCCTAGTACCCCATTGGAAACCTTGCCGAATAGACTCCCGAATACTGTACAATTGCTTCTTGTCCACTTCATCCGGCAAGGTATCGTCCACAAGTATGTTCGGACCATTGTCCTCGGGACCAAAGGCCCAGACAGATCGAGATGCCAGCAAATCCCAGTCGTATTGCTACCGACAGGCCAAAGTCGAAAAGGGTCAGTGCTCTCTTGGCGCAGGGCACGAATAAGGTGTGTTGCTCACCTGCTGCAAATATTTGCCTAACTCTTTCGGAGGCATCCGTGTGTTGATTCGACCTTGTTCAATGTCCTCTGCCAGACCCTTGTCGAGGGGCTCAGCGATCACCGTAATCTTGTTCCTGTCATTCATCGTTGAGATGTCTGCCAAGTAAGTCCCCTGCCCACACTCAGACCTCGCCCATCCTACCCCACTCACTTTTTGTTGGGCGTGACCGCGTAGCACTTCACGGCGCTCGTCTCGATCACCGTTTCGGCAAAGCGCACAACGGGATCGCTAACCTTGATTTCCATCTCCGCATACAACTTTCTCAAGTCGTGTAGGATGCAATCGAGGTACAGCTCTCCCGTTCCAAGCACGATATGTTCTCCGCTCTCTTCCACCTTGGTGATCGCCAAAGGATAGCTCTTGTTGACCTTTCTCAATCCCTCGAGCATCTTCGGCAGCTCGGAAGGTACGAGGGGCTCAATGGCAATTTTGAGAATGGAGCGCGTGATGTGCGAGATCGGAGCGATGATGTGAAGGTCTTCAAGGGGTACCTCGGCTCCTACTACCGTAGCCGTCTTGGTGATGCTCGAATCCACTCCTCCAAGTAAAGCCCAGCATCCAGCCGGTATGCCTTCGGCTTCCACAGCATACCGCGTTTCGCTCACCCACACATTCTCGACGGTAGCTAGAGCCATATCCTCATCGTCGTCTTGGCTGAACCCTTCTCCCAACACCCTCACCCTATCTCCCTTGCGCACAGTGCCGCTCAACACCCTGCCAAACGCACGAAAACCCTGCGCGTCGGTCGTGGAGTACAACTTCGACACCGCCACGACGAGAGGACCATCGGCGTTGCAAGTGGTCATTCCTTCGTACAGAGGTCCTTCGCGAGGTCCGACCCAGATACGATCTATCTTGCTTTTCGCAGCGTCCAGAGGGCTGGGAACGTTGTCGACGATGATGTCCGTCAAGCCCGTGGCGTTGCCAAAGAATGTGTTGAGGACGAGTCTGAGCAGCGGTCTCACGTCCATCTTGTACACTGCCGGCTTGAAGAAGATTCCCAACCCAGCCAACGTCCTCTTGAGGTCGTCCGAGTCGCAAGAGAGTACCTGCGTGTACATCTTGTAGATGGGTTCCAAAATGAAGTGCACAAAACTCCTCTTGCTCTCCGGATCTGCCGCTCTTCGACTGAAATTGCGACTCTCGGAAGAGTAGTAAATGTTGCCCCAAAGGCGCTTGGCAAACTCTTCGACATCCACCTTGTCAGAATACAGCTTGGCAAAACTCCGCAAGGTGAAGCACCATCCCGTCTGCGTGCTCGCAAAAGCTACGTTGCCGCGCTCGGGTCCTAGACGGCGAGCTGGGTTCTTGTCAAAGCGGGCAATCACATTGTTCACCTCTTCGATGGAATGACGAATCTTGAAGTAAGCTTCGCTGGGAGGCAAACGAAGTTCCAAGATGAGGCGGTCCAGCTTGTTGAGGACGAGGACAATGGGTAACCCATCGCGCTGCAGGTTGGACGAATGAGGAGCAAAGGTCTGGTCAGAGGCACCTCCCACCTTTTAGATCAAGAATAGCAGTCGCGGCGACACTCACGATCGCGTGCTCAATGATCTTTTCAGCGCCTATCATAACGCCTTCAATCACATCCACGACGAGGACCACGCCATCTGCAGCTCTGGTGCTGGCAGCCACCTCGTCCAGGAAGTTGACGTGACCTGGCGTGTCTAGCAGATTGACCAGATGCGACTTGCCGCGCGTTGTAGGCAGCACGAGGGACAGAGGAGCGGACTTGAGTGAGATGCCACGCGATCTTGACAGCTCGGAGATGTCCGTATAGCGTTCCTGGACAGAGGCGGCAACACAACGTCAGCTTGCATGCGTGTATGCGTGCAGGTGGCACGGTACCGGGCCGCTTGCTCGTCTGTCTAGCTTCCTCTACCATGCCTTTTGCTCACCTGCCTGTCCGTGTCGATGGGCATGACATGAGTCTGCTGCACGAGCATGTCCAGCAAGCTAGTCTTGCCGTGGTGCAGGTGACCCGCCACGACGACGTTTCTGACCATTTCAGGGAAATTCATAAGGTTCATCATGAACTCTCTCTCGAACCGAGTCTGCGGCAAACCTTTCTCCTCTATGTTGAATTTCCGCACCTTGACCGGTTCCACGATGGGTTGAGTGAGGGGTTGAGTGTCTTCTTCTTGCACCAACGCTTCCACATCTTCGCCGTACACTTCGTTGGCGGAAGGGTAGTACTTTTTGTCTTCGTGCAGCACCACTGCGTTGCTCGCTGACTCGTCGATCCTCATCAGTGCACCGCTCGCACCTGCGCCCCTAACATCTTCGTCCATTGCCTCCTCATCCTCATCGTCGTAGCCGGCTAATGGAGCAGGTGAATCTCCTTGGCCATACCTTCCCCCTGCGCTCGCACCGGCACCTGCACCGGCACCGACACCGGCACCGACAGCAGCCTCACCTCCCCCGTAAGACGAAGCGTCGTCGTCAGAGTCAGAAAGCGCGCCGATATAGTTTCCAAACTCGTCGTAGTCGTCCATCTCGAGCTCTCTGCCGCGTGGCGTGAGGTCCGCAAGTGCAAGTGCAAGCGCAAGTGCTAGCGCAGGCTGATTGATGCGCAGGGAAGGGCGCCCTGATGGATGATTTCAAGCCTCTGCCAGCTGCGCTTGGAGATCAGGACGGAAAGGCAAGGATCAAGGCCGGGCCGAGGTGCGATGTACGGGACGACGGATGCTGGAAGCAGTGTGTGGTATGTCAGAGTAAGGAGGCGAGTCAAGGTGTCCTGGTAACGCGCTGTTGTGATTATGTATGAGATGTAGCGTCGCTGCGAAGAACCTTGGAATCATGGATCACGTGACAGACCCACATCACATCACTCGTGACTCTGCGCGTCCCCGCAAAAATTCCAAGACGCGGGGAGGCGCAAGCTCGCGCCGCGGGAATCAAGCGCGCCACCGCTGGATCATCGATCGTCATTCAAAAGGTCATCTTTCATCAGACTCTTATAGTAACTGCACTTGCGCAATTCACAGCTCGAATTCACCTTCCCGTCCTCGACCGAGCCAAATCAGGGCCTCTCTGGTATCCTGAACTAGCTGACCCTTCGAAGTGTGATTCGACCTGGAACGACCCAGAACCGGGAATGACGTTCATGGTAGCGCGCCACGGTTTGCCACTTGACCGTCGCGGTGGAAGGAATGCCCTTCAGCACGAAGCGCTGACTTTCCGATGACCAAAGCCTCACCGCGCCACTCATCGGAGGTGGCGCTGCGCCATCCTCTCGGTGGCCTCTTGACCGAGACCGTTGAAAGTCTTCGAGTGGCGTGATGGTGATGGTGTTCGACTGCTGTATTTAAACGTCCACGAAGATTTTCTTTTCTGCGTACCGCGCTCAGCCGCCTTGTACGCTGGCAAGAGTTTATGACGTCTCACACTCACTCGCCTTGCTTGCCTTCGACTCAGCGCAGCGCAGTGGTCTCAGCTTGTCGAAGCCGTGCGCGGCTTCCGTCTTGTCACCAGAATGCTGGCTACCCTAGCTGGTCTGCTGGCAGGGACCAGTCTCATTTCGTACAGCACGCTCGCGCTTGCTGCCTCGAGCAGACACACACCCAGCCTCGCCAAAGCTCGCTCAGGGCAGATCTCCCATGTGCACAATGTTTCCCGACGAGGCGTAGGTCAGGTGCGCAGAGCAGCAAGCTCCGTTCTCTCTCCTCGCGCAGATCGCAGATCGCAGATCGCAGATCGCAGTGCGGCTGAGTCATCTGCATTTCTCCCTTGACCGCCTTACAGAACGTTCTGAGTGGTCTGACTAGAGACGCACAATCTTCCACCAGTCACTGGTGGAGACCGAGCGACATGATGCCAAAAGATCCCGCCACTGGGATTCGCAAGGTGCATCCGAGCTGGAACTTGCCGGAAGACTATAACGAAAAAGCAGCTCAACGCGACAAAGATGCAGGCAAAGCGTTGGGAAGCAGCATCACAGACTTTCGAGAGAGGCTCATTTGGAATGGAGAGGGTAGACCTCCGACCATCGAACAGACGCGCAACGGGCCAAAGTCTCCGCCTGAAGACCCAAAACATCGCTACGTCCACGTACCTTCTTCTCGTGAAGAGCTGGAGAGGGAGTGGAACGATCCTCATCCGGCTTTGCATCCTGTGCACGAGTATCGCAAGTTGACAAGGGACAAGTATCCGGTATTGAGGGAGAGCAAGAGCTCGTCGGATCTGCTGTACAAGGAGCCTACCAAGCCCAGCGAGGTTCCAAAGAACGCGAAAACGGGACTGGAGAGGAGCAAGAGCACTTCTGCTCTCATCGATGAGAGTCCGCTCAAGATGCCAAAGGGACGCTTGCCCAGCGATGCAGAGAGAAGGCACAAATTGATGCATCAATTCGTGCAGAGCTACCCTGGCCACATTCCCAAGAGCGTGCAAGATGGTCTCTATGACCATGCAAAGCAGCACGAGGGGCGACTACACTACATGGACGTTGGTCGTCTCTACCTAGAGCATCCAAGCGAAGATCTTCAGGCTGCGAAGCGCGTAGTAGGCCATATGGAGCGCTGGACCAAGCACACGAAAAACATGTATCCCATCTCCAAACGCATCTGGTCAGACATGCACGATCCAATCCCGCTGACGCGCGACGGTCAGTTCTTCAAGGCTGCAGGCATGCCGAATGGCTGGTCCGTAGAGAATCATAGAGGTGGCCCCAATGTTCAAAAGTACTTGTTAAAGAAAGAAGCTGCAGAAGAGGCCAAGAGAAACAAGGTGCTCACTCCGCTAGAGAAGAAAAAGGAGGCTTTCGATAGACGCTTCCCTCAACGGAAATTGTGGTGAAGTTGGCCAATAGGCGCGGGGGGGGGGGGGGGGGGGGTTGG